ATTCTCCGATACCAGAGATCGGAACGGAAGCCCTTTTTCGTTGGACTGTGACGGTTTGGAGGAATCGCTCTGAAACAAAACAACATTCGCTTCCCGAGTCTAGAAGAGCTCTCACTGCATGCTCCCTTCCATTATCATCGACGAAGAGGACGACAGCGGTAGCGAGGAGGACAGTGGTTTGATGTTCGTGGCTGTTCCTCCGTAGTGTGAGTTGTTGTTGTTTTCGATGTTGTAGGATGATGGTTCGCGCCTGTTGACGTTTCTCCATGGCAAAGTTGAGTGTGATGACGGTTTTTGCATTTTCGACAGGAACTGGACGACGGGCAGTCTCGTACCAAGTGACCTTTGCGTAGACAGTTTCTACAGAGCTGCAGTCGACGGATTTATTTTTCCTTGTCCTCGATGACCAAATTCGAGAACGTGGGACACATGTAGAGTGGGTGATGTTCGGAGCAAATAGAGCATTTTCGATCTGTGCTAACGTGGCTGACGGTGTGACATGCCGCCGGGCGTTGGGTGAACTTCTTCGGCTGACTGTACGACGATGACGACGGCGGAATTTCTACGCCTTTTCCGTGAAGCGTTTGGAGGACGGATGCTCTCCTCTAAATGAAGCTGGTGAGGTCCTTGAACGAGAAATCGTCCTTTGCTAATGAAAATTCCTCCCAATCGCGACGAGTTGTGGCGTCGAGACGAATAAGATCCCAGAATTCCGTTTTCTCTCCTAACTGCTGAAGCACCTTCACGTTGGATTCGAATCTCTCTACGAGCGCATGTAAGTCTGCCGCTGACTCACGTTTGAGGGTGGAAAACTCGAACAAAGCGTTGAGATACGACTGCTTCAATCGGGGTTTGTTCTGGAAATGCTCCTCAAGCAAATTCCAGGCTACGGAGTAGTTCGCTGCAGTAATAGGAATCGTCTGTACAAGTTTGAGGGCGTCGCCAGAGAGGGAAGAACGCAGGTAATAAAATGTTTGAATGTTCGAGAGTTCCGCTGAAGAGTGAACCAAGGACATGTACAGGTCGTGAAAATTCATCCAATAATCCAAATTCCCACTGAAGACAGCAGCACCTCGAAGGTTCTCGGGACTTCCAGGCGTGGCCAGGCAGTAGCTCCAAAGATGGTGGTTTCACGGGCGTGAGAGATTCCAGATGACCGGAGTTCGTCGGCCCATCCGGTTCGAAGGACCAGATGTCGATATCAAAGTAGAGAGCAGTAGAGGTTTCAATTTACTTCGGGCACTTTCTTCACAGATCACTCAATCTTCTGTTTAGTTCAGTTCGTTTATTATATTTTCCTACGTTTCACTCCATGCACTTTATTTACAATTCAATTCTTTTTAATTTTAGGTTAAACTAAGATTATTATTATTATTTAACTTTATTAGGGAGGCTTTCAGCCTTGGGCTGGTTCGCCTCCACCTAAACTAAGATAATCCACTTTTATTTTTTACTTAATTTCACTTAATTTCAATATTTTACAAACTTTGAACTTGGTTCACTTTGGTTCTTCGCAATCGGTTTCGTCCTCGTTGTCGTAGTCGAGAAAAAGAGAGTTTTTCCCATGCGGGATGGTCCTTTTATACAACGGGGCTATTCATCGGCGGCGGAAAAAGGAAGAAAACAAACGACAACACTATATTACATGAGTTACTCTGCTCCGTTGGGACGACAACTCGTAGAAAATCGACGAACGAGGGATCTTTATTAAGGGTGATGATCATTTTCGACAGCTAGGCGGCGCTAGTATATTCGTACGCGAACAAGTGCTTTCCCGATTTTGTCAGACCCTTCTCAAATTTAAGGCTGACAAAAACGGGAAACTGATAAAATCAGGAAAAAATTTCCCACTATTTTTTTGATCAAAACTATTACAGAATAATGAAATCCTTATAGGGTACGGGGTGCTATGGGATAATATGACCATCAGCGCTTATTTACGTGTTTTGCAAAACAAATTTATTGAGTTTCACCCATAATCACTAGAAGAGCTGCCGAACAGTCATCTGGGAAATTGTTTATATCGCTGTTGGTCATATCACGCCAGGGTGCGTTTTACCCCACCTTGTCTTATTATTTGTAAAAACTCTTCTAAACCATCAAATAATTAGAATTATTGAATTAATCTTCCTTTAACGATAATGAAATATACATACATACGTATACATAATATGTACGTTGCTCGAAAGTAATTGACGAAGAAAACGATTTGGCAAGCGTTTTTGTTACCGCTGCTTTTCTCCTCCCTTCCATTCATTGGTGAAATGGTGAGCGGTCAACCGAGCGGTGAGCTCGCTGATATGAGCATGCGCAATGTGTCGTGTGTTCGATTTGCGCTCTATCGTTACGTCCGTGTTTGGGTTTTTCGTTACATGTCTGAATATCACTAACACACTCCACATTTTTCGGTTTCCACAACAAACACTTGTAGCCCGAAACTAGCTTCATACAATGTACAAATCAATCTCGTTGTAGAAAACAACGAATAAATTCGTTGGGAAAATGACGGCTTCGGCATGACAGACTATTTTCGGCAACCCAAATTGAATCGCTAATTCCATTGGATTTTCTCACGAAAACACTTCCCTGAATGCATTCAAACGATTCTTTAGGCTTTCAGGTTCAATTTGACTATATTTTTACCACTGATAAAAAGCAATCTAGTTTTCTTGAAATGAAACACACGCACTACAAAATGCTGCTGATTTCAAGTTGCCGATGAAAGCACAGCTGTTTAACACGCAGCTCAAATAGAAAGGTTGCCGAATAAAAAGATGTTGCCCACAATAGTCGCTCACACTAGAGAAGTTTGGAGCTTTGTAAAAGCTTTTAAAAACAGTTTCTGACAATTATTTCAACTGAAATTGTTAGAGCAGCTGACAGTAAAAGATTGTAAACAAACCAGTACTGCATATGTGTGCGTTCCTGAAAGAAAAAGGCTATATAAAGATGGTCGCTGCTTAGGTTGCCGAAAATACGTAAATTTCCCTAGAACAAACGAGCGTTTTCGTTGTATAAACGAAATTTTATTTTCAGTGTAGCGCCTACCGAAATGGATTTTTATCAACCCTCAGGATCTCAGTTCAACTCATGAATTTTCCAACATTCAGTGGAGCTGAAATTATATTAGGATCGAAATACCCTTTTAATTGAGTATTTTTGCTCAACTTGCATCAAGCATTGATCAACCATAAGTTCACAACTCTATTTAAAAAATTGAAATGAATAACTATCCTCGTACTACATCGACTAATTAAGTTGTTTGAAACTCACGAAGTCAGTCATACTTATTAATAAATTTCTGCCATTAAGAAATATTTCGCTGAATTTTAATGAAATTATCTAAGATTCCCTGATTTTCCAGGTCCAAAATTGAATTCCCTGATATTCCTATATTGTCCAGGTTTTTCTAGAGTTCCGAATTTTCGAAAGTTTTAGGAGTCCACAATGTCGGGAAAAAAATTCCATCACATTCCTTGACCAAATTGGGTACATCGTCCCCTTTTTTTAGTATCCGCAAGCAATTCACATCAACTGAAAAAAAAAATCTACAGCAGCTTTAAATTAAAAACACCCACCCTTTGTCTAAATAAAAGCCAATCAACGTCTGTTCAATACCATTGCTCCCATCTACGACTTGTCTCAACTAGCTGCAGAAAATCTCGCTTCTTCGCTTTTGTACCGCTTGCCCCTGGAAAACTATCGCCCGGGGAATATATTTATTTAAGTTTTTCTTCACTCCTCTTGAGCTCACTATCTCAAGCAATTCTCTCACATTCGCAAACACAAACACACGGCAGTGGCACTATTGCCACACTACACACTGGTGCAGCTCTATTTTACAACCGAAAACTCGTCTCAACCCCTTCAGCCCCCAAACGTGACCCTGGCAAATGCGAGATGGCTCAACTCCTGCAGGAACGCTTTGTCATCGTTTCGGTGTTCCTCGAACGAACGAACGACCGGCCGCTGTCTGCCTCACCGAGCGGCGGTCCTACACGGACCATAAGGAGGTCTTCTGTTTTCTCAGTCCCGAGCGCACTATGCCACTCGTTCAGGCAAGCGCTGCTTTTTTTATTACACTCTGGAAACAATTGAATTACACTCAGCTTATAAATGGGGATCCTGGCGCCTCCGGATGGCCGTCTCGACTTCATCCCATTTACCGTTCCATATTTTTTTTTTTCGAGCTCCGTCCGTTCCATCCGTTTTCGGAGCAAATAAAGAAAATGTGGAGCACAACATGATAAATGGATGTGTTTTAAGATTTAACGAGTGCTTCGGCTAATAGTTTTCCATTTCTGTTTATTGAATTATCATTAGCTTGCCGAGGTTTTCCCGAGGAAAGGGTGTGCCCCGGAAACGAATTCGTTGTGGTGCAAATGTGTCGGCTACATTACAACCTAGGTATAGGCAAATGAGGGACGGAGAGAGCGATTTTCGTTTTGAATCGCCTCCTCCGCAAATCCTCCGCAAACAGAGACGGCGAGAAGTAAATAGCTTTTCCGGGGAAATGACAAGGAAAAGAATGTGGCTGGCGGTTGAATTATTCTCCAACCGAAGCCGTCTAAAGGGAAATAAATTTTAAGTGCGGATGGAAAAAGTTGGTTTTTATTGGCTTGTGAGAGCGTCTTGCCAAGTCAGTGTGACTGGAAGTTGGGAAATTGGAACATATAAAGCTAAGCCGGTTCGAAGCCAAGTAGCGGGAAAAGTGCTTTCGCACAGTTCTGGTTATGGTTTATGCAAATAGAGGAAATTTCCAGAGGAACGTTTTCAAAATTGGCTCTTCTCGAAATTATTGACGAGGAAAAATAGCAAAGTCAACTTTCGTCTAAACGTGTCGCACCGGATTAGAATAAACCGTGAATACAACACGACAATCCACGCTAAGCCGGTTCTTCTCTCCTTTGCAAATCGCATGCATGGAGTGCTAATATCTGTCTCCACATTTTTTTTCGCACAGATATCTCACATACATATTTATTTTCTTCTATTTGCAGAGATTGCCGCGTGGTTCGAGATCCACAAACGCTGAAATCCAAAGGCTACGGCTTTGTGTCGTTCGTGAAGAAATCGGTAAGTAGCTTCATATTTGCACACTCCCACTCACCCATCCTTCCCGTTTCGGGATTCAACGAATGAGAAAGATATGATAGGAAAATAAACCCATTCTCTCAACACCCACACATCATACGTATAGCATCACGAAAAGCACGCTCGAATAAATCCCATGAAGCTCAGGTTGAGCAGCAGACCACACACAGTCAAGTCAGGGGGATACTGGAATCAAATTACGGGCGAATTTCTTCTAATCATCAGATTGATACAGTCAGTAGTGCACAGTGTAGAAACGATGAACACATAACACTTTACCCAGCCATTCTATTAAAACGAAATACAAACGATTCACCGTCCCCCATCGCTACTACAGTACCTACATTTTGATTCGGTGTCCGGTGGTCCTGTGTGCTTTGGTCTGCTCTGATGATGATACCTACCTAGCCAATACGATGGGACCGTCGGACGACGACGACGACGACGACGTCTAGATTCAGCTGATAAAAAAGCGATTGTGGCCCTTCTCCTGGGTACAGGAGGTTGGGCCGGTGAAAAAAGATACCGAGCAGGGTTGCCAGTTAGGTGGTATGTACATATTTGAAACTGAAGTTGAAGTGCCTCTCTCATGGATCATAGTCAGAAATGAAGCGAATGTTGGGAGTTGTCAAATCCATCTAGAATTCTAAACTAATCCATTAGTTTAAACAAGAAAACATCAGAATTTATTAGATTTTGCAAGTTACAGAATCATCCAAAAGACCGTTACTAGGCTTTTTTTCTTTAAACGTGTTTATTTCTGGTTGTTTGTTGTTTTACATATAACATAAAATTTTATAAATGATTGTATATCTTAAGAGAAATGTTAGTTCGTTTACATCTTAATCCTCCCTAGCTCCATCCTGTACATATTTGAGATATTCAAGAAATATTTTTGCAACTATTCTCCTTTCTTTTGTCCTCAAAACAGTCAACTCCGGAAATTTAAACTGATTGAATCCTATGTTTCTAGTTTGAGTTCTGTTGATTAATTTTAGTTGTGTTAGAGAATACCACCAACAATTCCGCACTTTTTCGCAACCAGCATACCTGTGTTCAATATCCTCAACCGACAATAAACACACATTTTACTGCCCGCTCTACCAAAGCGGAATTGTTGTTCCGCACATGAGATTTTCTCATTCACAAGAAGATACCATGAAACTTGGTATTCTGATGAAATCTTCCTATCAAAAATATTTTTTCCATATTTTTCCCCAGTTGTATTGTGAAAACTTCACCATTATGTGTGGTTTTGGTAGTCGAGCTATATAGTTGCTGTACAAGCTAATTGATGATGGGTTTTCTTTTAAATTTTCGTGTAAGTATGGTAGTTCTAAACATAAAGTTTTTAAGTAAAGAGAATTAAGTGGTATTTGTTTTTTGTTCGGTGGATTCATTAAATTATCAGTGAATGTGTGACAAAATGGTGCGATTGCCTTCAATCTAATATTCTATTAATAAATAATGCCTTGTATTTGTGCTCCCAATCTTTGTGGGAGGCAAAGTTGATCAAAAGCGACCCGTATGAAATTCGATGCCACAAAAAGTTTCCATACTTGTTTTTAATTTGTGCAGTAGATTTCTTATCAATTGGAATAATTGAGGCTACATACCAAATTTTTGACGATGCATATGTGTTCAAATATACAACTTTTTGTATTAGATTTAAATTTCGAAATTGGTTGTTCCATAAAACAAATCTAATCTAATCCTTCCCAATTCAACTCAATCATTGATTTACTGTGATTGTGATACCATATACCTAAAATTTTTATCTTTTCTTCTAAACGAATCCATTCTGGCACATCCAAACTTCTGTTAGTTCCAACAATCATTGCTTTCGTTTTCGAAAAGTTTACTTTCGCACCTGATACTTTTTCAAACATATCGAACATGTGTTTAATTTCCGGTAGTTCACGTAAATCATTCAGGATCATGCTTATGTCATCTGCATAGCTACATAAAATATCTAGGGGAATTTACGTATTCTCGTCAATCTAAGCAGCGTCCGCACTTCTATTAGCATTTTTTCAGCGTCACGCACATATATCACGTGTCTGCTTGTTAACATTCATCTGCTGCTTGCTTCTCTATCCATTCCAATCGACAGAATTTTTCAAAACAGTTTGAAAGCGTTTTTACAATGCTCCAAACTTCTCAGGTGAGTGTGACTATTGTCGGCAGTCTCTTTTTCTTCGGCAACCTTCCCATTAGAACTGCGTGTTAACCAGCTGTTCTATTATCGGCAACTCGAAATCAGCCCTATTTTGTAGTGCGTATGCTTCATTTGAAGAAAAATCTGGCATAATAGGATTGCTCGATCGTACAAATATAATCAAATTGAAGCTGAAAGACTAAATAATCGTTTGGATACATTCAGGGAAGTGTGTCGATGGGAAAACATAATGAAATTATCGTTTAAATTTTGGTTGCCGAAAACAGTCAATGGGTGCCGAAGCCGACATTTACCCTAACTCCGTTGTACAACAACTTTTAAGCTTCTGCAGTAAGGGTTCCAAATATAAGCAGAAAAGGAGCATAGACAAGGGATCTCCTTGTCGTACAGAACGTCCAATTTTTATGTAGTTTGATAAACTTCCATTTATCAATAATCTAGAGTGTGTATATTCGTTAATCTTTTGAATTAATCTAATAAAATCAATATTGATTCCCATTTTCTGTAGGTTTCTTTCTAGAAACTGATGACTGACTCTGTCCAAAGCTTTTTCTAGGTCAAACGATATCAATACAGATGTTTTCTTTTTTAAATTTGTTTCTAAAATTGTGTCTCTTAATGAGCATGTAACCTCAAAAATGTTTTTGTGTGGATTTGAACACCTCTGCGTATTTGACATTAATTGTGAACTGAAACTGCTCAGGCGATTTTTTATAACTCTTGAAACGAGTTTATAATCAAAATTTAATAGTGTTATCGGTCGGTAGTTTTTTAAATCATTGCGACTTCCATTTTTACGAATCAGAATAATTATTCCTTCCACAAATTAAATTCTTTAGACATCTTTCCGTTTAAAACATCGTTTACCACATAAACCAGCTCTGTTCTAATAATATTACAACATTTCAGATAGTAACATTTCGGTAAGCCATCCACACCCGGTGATTTCTTGGATTGACTTGATTTAATTTCATTATAAAGCTCATCTTCCGTAATCCTATTCATCAAATTTATATTAGCTGGCAAATTTTCCTCAACAGTCTTCTGCGGATCAAAATGATCGTTTTTTAAGACTTCTGATCTAGTATACAGAGTTTGGTAAAATTTAAGTATTTCCGTTTCTATTTTTTCACGGTTTGTTTCAATATTTTCATTGATTTCTAATGATTTTATCTCCGTTTTTCTTTTATGCTTCATTTGTTCTCCTACATGGAAAATCGTTATGTTTTCATCCGCAATCATTGTTTTCGAGTGTGCATAGTAACTTTTGGATATGTCCTTTTGTAAAGCCAGCATTTTTCCCTTGACTAAATTAATTTCGCTACGTAAATTTGGATTGTTTACAGATTCTTTATGCAATAAATTTAACGCAGAATAGAAAAAAAACTCCATTGTATCATGGTTGCGTTTCATGAGCATGCTGTTTTTCCATTTAAAAAACGAGACTATTTTTCTCTTGGCAAACTCAGTCCACCATGAAAACCACGAATCGTAATGCCGTTTTTGTCTAACCAACCAGTTCCATTTAATACTGAACTCCTCAATTATTTCTTCTGTTAAGACAGATTCATTCAAACGCCAAACACTTTTCCCAAAAGGTTTCCCTAAATTTGGTAACTTGACCTTCATTATAATTGCTTTGTGATCGGAAAAACAGCAACTGTTTGATTTAATGTCAACAATGTCCTTCTTTAGCTAAAATTTATCTAATCTTGCACCTGACCCATTTCTAACAAACGTATAGTCGATCAGCGTTTTATGCATGATTTCCCACGCATCACTGAGATTTAAAGATTATACTAAAAATTTCAGCGATTGACTATGGGTAGATGTATGATTTGCATCCTGACTGCGTTAAAATTCCCCCCTAGAATTAATTTTCCTGACCCATGGTTTATATAATATTGAACTGAATCTGCAACAAACTTTTCTCTCTCTGCTTTTTGTGCACTGCCAGAAGGTGCATAGACGTTGCAAATTGTTGCATGGTCGTCTATTTGAATGCTTATAATTCTGGAGTCTATACCACGTTGTTTTTTTTTATTATTATTATTATAGTCACTTTAACACTCTTGGGTCATTCGTGACTTGTCCGGGGGTGAGATTTGAACTCGTGACTTTGGCGTGAGAGGTATGGATGTTAACCACTACGCCGGGGTCGCCCCCTACTATACTACGTTGTAAGCGTGATGTTTTAATGTGCGATTTTATTAAAATTTCGGTTCCCCTTTTACTATGATCAATGTTTGAAAATGCTTCAAAGACATTGATCTCAATTTGTTCTGTAACTTCTTGGAGCATGACAATGTCAAGCTCCATTAGGAATATAAATGATCTGAGCGCATCTAGCTTATTTCTATTAGAAATTCCATTCATATTTATCGACCCAATATTGTATGATAAAACATTCATCTTTCACGACTTATTTCGAGGTTTTCCTTGTACGACTGCGCTTCTTTTGATGAGAAGGTGAGCCACTCCTACTTCGTATCTTATCATTTTCATTCATCTCCTCATCGGAGATGAGTTCTCCGCAGCCTTTGCTGATGTCTCTGTTATCGGTTGTTGAGTCGACGTGTCCATTTGGTCACTCACCGTTTTTTCTGCTGTAATCTCTTTTGAGACTACTACGCTGCTCGATGGCTGAATTTCAGAGAAAGTGTTAGCGTTGTTAGTGTTGTTAGTGTTTGTGTGAGTGTTTGTTTTGACTGGCGGTCTAACATCCGGGGTCACCTGAATTTTGCTCGCGATAGATTTCTGTCCCAAACGTACTAGCTGCGTCAGATTAGTAAAATTAGGACTC